CTGTCTGTTGTGTTTGTTCCGGGCAATCTTCGAAACGGATGGACCGATTTTGATAATATTTTACTACCAGGTGTAACATGGGCTATAAAATTTTGCCAGGTCCGGGAATCGAACCCACTAAGGCAACGCTTTTCAAAATCCACGCGAACGGAGTCGCGGGCACCAGCTAGTCTTAAATACGTCTGATTAGATTTTTTCCATGACACAACCTTTAATTTGCGATATTGCATATGTTGTGACTTAAATGATACTTATGCGAAGGCCATGGGGGACTTAATAACGTGGTGCGGTTCCCCTCGAGCCGGGCCCACGGTCGGAGGGCGTGGATCAGTGTGTCGCGTTATTGTTATTTTCAATGTCAAATTACATTTCATTAACAATGGAATACTTGTATGCATTTCGTGTTGCAGTTTTGTTTTATATATTGAAATAACTAGATCTAAATAAAGGATGGCTGGTACTATCGGTTATTAAATTTCTAATCTATATATTAACACGTAAAGCGTAACCTTTTTATCATTGTTTAAGATAATTGCGCGAAAGTATGAACTTGAAATTTGACACAGTTAAAGTTTATATGGAGAACAAGAGCATAAAAGTCTTTTTTGTATAAAATGCATTTGAAATACACTAAATAAATTAAAATTAACATTACACACACTAGGTACTGCTTGAATGACACACAACATACACACATTCATACCATAGGTACTTACTCTTTTGTTAATGGTTAAAATCTATGGTCAAACTGTAGGCTAATTCGTCGTTGACAAACAACCCTAATAAAGATCAAATTTAAAAATAAAATAAAATATAGTCGAATTACGACCACTGGCCGACCACAAGTAAACAAAACTGTATGATTGGTTGTTTTATCATCAATATTTATGGTATAAGGGAACAAACGAGCAGACGGGTCACCTGATGGTGAGCAACTACCGCCGCCCATGGACACCTGCAATTCAAAAGTCACAAGTGCGTTGCTGCCCTTGGAGTCCCTCCCGCTCGAGTCAGCGGGAGGTGGGATTTGGGCTCCGATAACCTCACTCACTCATTGAAAGGCAACTAAAGAATTGTTTAACACCGGTTTTCTGTAAGTCCGTGGTATCACTCCGGTCGAGCCGGCCCATTCGTGCCGAAGTATGGCTCTCCCACGGTAACTATTTGTATTTATCAGTCCATACTTCCCCATTATCAAAAAGACCGGGTACGCATTTGTGAGTCTTCGATTTGCAGGCGACCATGAGCAACGGTAATCCCTTAACATCAGGTGACTCGGCTGCTAGTTTTATCATCAAAAATATCGGCACCATCGGAATTATACAATGACATAACTGAGAAGCAGGTGATCGACTGTCCCAATTTGTTTGGGAGCACCTAACAGTGATTACGTCCGATCAATAGTGCAATTATTATCTGTGTTACGAATACATACAACACTATTACTAGGAGTGAATCAGGCGTGACAGGAAGGAAGTATCGGCAATATACGGCACGTTTAGACTATTATAGAGACATCGCGCCCGGTCATGGCTGACTGATCAGCTCTGATGAAGTTTTTCGGTGGATTTCATGGCCTTCGATTTGTAGCTCTCACAGGGTCACCCTAATTAATGAGATATTTTTATTTTATAAAGCCTAAATCTTGAAGACTTTCAATTCAATTCAAATAGTTTATTGCGAGTACAGGTTATTACAATTGTGAATAATAATAATAAAAAATAATATAAACATTTAGTGCATCTAGATTCCGCCATTTGGCAAGCAATATTTATTACATTTCATTAGGTACTTTTATTTTAAATCATTAAATTATTGAGACATTCTCTAGTTATACCTAGAGTTCACACAGATACACAGAGTTCACACATGATCAAAAATAATATAAATGTCAATTAATTTAATATAATCCATGTCATTCTTTTTGTTTTTATTATGTAGGTCTATTTAGTTATAAGCCATGCAACAACCAACTATTCGATTTCATATTTTTATTATTATTTCACTTTGGAATTAATTTTCCCAGTCTCATTACCATCCTCATGACTATCTGCTAGATAGTCATGAGGATGATAGATCATCCTTATTTAGCCATTTTAGTATTCTATGGTCTCTCTCTCAGTCCTTAAGAAATAAGTTTGTAATAGAAATTACATCATCTATTCATCCCTATTCTATTCATCCCTATGCATCCCGTGGGTGTCGTAAGAGGTGACTAAGGGAGTGAAATACGCAGGACAACAGCACTGCAGAGAGAAGGAAAACTTGACATAAACCCTATAGCAACCCGTCTGGCCAGCGTGGTATGGTAGGCCAAAACCTCCTTTCTAAGGAGAGGCCTAGGTCCAGCAGTGGACTGTTATACGCTGTTAATGAGAAATTATTTTTACTCAGTAATAGAAATAAGTTGGTTAGTAACAGCAAATTCTGAAGTAATGTCAAAGAGAATGAAGATCTATGACAATTTTCAAATTACCCGTTACAATACTTGTTAGTAGTGCAGAAGGGAAGAATATTCGCCATGACAATACTGGTACTGTAATCTGGTAGTGCGATGGATCAGAAGTATGTATGACCGTGCCTTAATTACCCTTGACACTACTGGTTAGAAGTACAGAAGAGAAAAAATATGACACCAGCAAATCCTGCCTTTGAGTCCACTAGAATTCAAAAGCAAACACATTAAAGTTAAATATAAAATCGCCCTTCTTGTACCATAAAGCATGTTAGGAAATCATTCAGCGGCTAAGCTGTGTGAGCTTAAGAGTTCAGCTGCTTACATGCAATATTTAATTACCTAACTTACTTCGATAACACGAACCACTAGAGATGATAAAAAAGATAAACATAGCCTGTATCAGTCACTGCCCTCGAAACTGTCGGGATATGGGAGATATATGGTATACTGAGAAAGAACATCGCACAAATTTTTGGATTTAGTGTGTTCCGTGAATAAAATTTCGATGTCAACAATGCTTTCTTACTTTTTAGTGCTAGTAGTATTATAAGAATAACAAATTCATGTTTATCGATAATGGTTATAAACAAGGTATTAAAGGTTCATCATCATCAACAGCCTATAACAGTCCACTGCTGGACGTAGGCCTCTCCTTAGAAAGGATGTTTTGGCCTACTATACCACGCTGGCCAGACGGGTTGATATAGGGTTTGTTTCAAGTTTTCCTTTTCTTTGCAGCTGTTGTCCTGCGTAGTTTGTTCCCTTATTCGACTCTTACGACACCCACGGGATGAATAGGAGTGGTGACATTCCGTATACTTAATCCGTCACCACACGGATTAAAGGTTAATGAATTCAAAATGAAGATTTTTTTTTAGGATTTCGTAATGGGTACAAGGAACCTTAAGACATAGTTTGGCTCTGTCCGATTGACCGTCTGGGACTTGCTTAAACCACACAGACAAAGTGGTTAAATAAACTCTTAAAGATTTTTTTTGTTAGGATCATCCTACTTTACGTGTAGGGACCTCCGCTATCCCCTAGAATGATCCTAACATGGGTATTTCACTAATCCTTAGAAACATATTTAGAATAGGACACGTATTTGGCCATTGATTTTTTATTTCATCACATAAAAATACTTTTATAGGTACTTTCTAGGTATATTAGAGACATTCTTTTTAGATGATGTATTATTGTATGTTTCTAATTTGATGCACCGCGCAGGAAGGTGGCTGCCTAATATTATGTTTAAACAATTCATTAAAACGGATTTGAGTCTATGCGCACGTCCGTTTAAGGCTATGTGGCCATTGTCGTGTGCTGTATGCGAATTTTAATCGTGCCTACCTGTGGCAGTAGTCATTGCTGAATGGTTATGTCATCCATCATTGCGAGATTTGTGCATTCAATTCTAGATCAAGTTAGCTTTTCACTTGAAAAACTTTAAGGGTCTTTAAAGGTCCTAATAATTTCATTGTATAAAACTGTACTGAAATCTTAAAGGGATGTCGGTTTCAAGTTTATTTTTATGTTGATATTAATGAATGTTGGTTTTTTTTAACTTCGATTTCATACTTAATTGTATTTGTCATAAGTACAATAGTTGGTAGTATCAAATGAACGTGTATGTATGTGTAAAGCTGCATCTAAAGCCTAAAACTATTATCCAAAACTATTTGTTTGGTATTTAAAAATCGAAGACGAGGGTATGTTCTTGGTTCCTAGTTTCATTGGTCCTGGAGTTTCCACTAAACTAAATCTATTATGTAAACATCATTGATAGAAAGAGAGAGAGACAAATAAACGGTCATCATCATCATCAACAGCCTTTAACAGTCCACTGCTGGACATAGGCCTCTCCTTAGACAGGAGGTTTTGTCCTACTTTACCACGCTGGCCAGACGGGTTGGTATAGGGTTTGTTTCAAGTTTTCCTTTTCTTTGCAGTGCTGTTGTCCTGTGCAGTTTGCTCCCTTAGTCGTCTTTTACGACACCCACGGGAGGAACAGGGGTGGTGACATTCCGTATTCTTAATCCGTCACCACATGGACCGTAATAATCGACCAATAATAAAAGTAAACGGTCGATCACCGTTTATTTGTCTTGTTTTCTTGTCGTTTGTTTAAATATATAATACTGTATTTAATAAATCGTTGGACTAGATTATTTTGGTCAGTTGCATGATTATTTCTATATGTCCCATTATTCTTCTTGGTAAGCTTCTTGAAACTGCTGCAATCACCGTTCTCGTTTTCCTATACAAGACTTGCGGTATCTTTTACCCAACCTGGGGGAGTTCCCTATCCGTTTTCTTACGTCAATTTACTTTCCTCTTGATAACATTTCTAAAGGGGCCTGGCGTTAAGCAGCTCATAAAAGAAAGCAGCGAAAATCCATTTATATCTTAGATATTGTGCTGACTTTTTATAAATTTAGGAAAGTGATGATACTGAAAGAAACCAGTGAGGGTTGAAACTCATCGGTCTTAACAACCTCGAGGGATCGTGTAGGATATTATTGTAATAGTGTCGTATGAACAGTACCGCCGACCCGACCGGGCTGCGGCGCGTGCAGTGCGCGCGACAATGAGTACTGCGAGACGCGCGTGCTGGCCGACCACTGCTGCTGCGAGCGGCGCTTCGTGCCGGAGCCCTTCCCCTGGCTCCCGCACACGTGCTACGTGGGGCCGCGCCGCTGTCGCCCGCTCGCGCACGACTGCGCGCAGTACGTGCGTCTCAGGAACTGCTGCTGCTACAGGAAGCTGGCGGAGAGATGTGAGAACCCTTCTTTCTCTTATACACGTACACTTTTCAATCATACGGCCAGTCGTTTCATCCTTCGATGACTCTATTTGGTGTGTTTAAGTGTAAACGAAATTTGATATGTATTTAGGAATATGGCAGATGACATAAAGTAACTTTTATGTAGAAAAGAGTACAATTAAAGAAATTCTAAATATAAGCTTTGATATTTTCTTATCTTATACAAAAATGTATCTCGTGTACTCCAGGGAAGAGTATCCTGTCGAAGTCGACTCGTTTGGGCGTGAGCGGCGTGTCCCTACTGCTGCTGTCGATGCTGCTGCTGGTGGCGCACCTGTGACGTCAGCAGCCCCGCGCGTTGCCCGCGCCCGTGTGACGCCTCAGGCTTGTTGTGGAACACACTATATTATACCTTACCGATAGATTACGCTAAAGAAAACCCCGATCGCCTGACTAGCCGACATCTTTTACTCCACGGACACCGATATAAATATAATGACCGTTTTTAAAACTGTAAATAACGTTATTCTCTATATTGATGATATCATTACCGATGTTTTAATTCATAAAAGAAGTACATTAGATCGATTTTACTTTTGTAACGACACAGACTATTGTTATAATTCTAAGCGTACTTTTAACTTATCTAAAAAATATTACAATCTATATAGCAATCAATTAAACCCACAGTAAAACTTGTGTTAAAAACTCACCACACAGAACTTCACCACCATTAAGAATTTAGAAGAAATTCAGACTTAGATTGCTTACTTTTATATTAATATAAGTATCGTATTAAAAAACTCGGAGCTTACAGAAAATATCTGAAATACGTATTCCTGTTAACTACTGAAACAGAGTCGAAACTTAAGATGTTTAATTTTTGATCACTAAAATCTTTTTTCCATTTTTGTGCTTTTTGATATTCCGTTACCGTTATAAAGACCCTTCGATAAAGTAATTGTGACTGTTTTTAAGTAGGTTCTAACCGACTTCGAGGAGTTCAATCAGACTTTTCGCAAAATGTGTTTTAAAGCGTACAAAACTCCGAGCTTTAACTAATGTATGAAGTGTAGCCGCCACGACAGTCAGGCTTGTAGTTACAAAGTCATTTATTTCTAGTTCAGTATTGTGAAGCCAAAGGCTTGTAGGATGTAAGTTACCGTTTGTTTATTAAGTTTTATTGTTGTTTTAGATAATTTTATTTACTCCCACATATAATGTAGGGACTGTACAATTATTTTTGTTTCATAAAAAAACCTATTGCACTCTTGACGACTGAAAATTGTAAGAACAAGGCATTTATATTTTTGAAAAATTAATTTTTATATATTTATTGTGTTTAAAAAATATACCAGTTATATTATAGACAAGTTCATATGTATAATAGAACCGTCAGTGTTGCTGTTATGAAAATATATTTTGCTTGTACGCTACAACTTTATGCAACTCTATGATTATATTTAAAACAAAATTATTTAATCAATTAATTACACGACTGGATGATTTCAATTTTATCAAATTCCTAATTTCTTCTTAAAGAACAATGGCGAATTCGTCGTAGAGTATAATTTGAGCGTCTTAAAATGCCATTCATAAAAAACGAATTCTAGTAAATATCTACGTTTTTTGAAACTTTCGTCTAAGTCAGTTAACCCTAGGAAAAGAAAGAAAAATTTATAAAGCTATTTGATTATTTTAATTTCCTTTATCAGTTTAGTGATACCATTTTACAACAATTTTTTTCAAGTTGTGGAAATAATATCCGATAAAGTGTTATAATATGGTAATCACTTAATAGTAATTTGGTAATCAGATAATAGTTTTATAATTCTAAGTAATTAATCAATAAAGAATGTAGTTTAAAATCAATAAATAATGCGTTAATAATGCACCACGCATTATTAAACGCTTTATTTACGTATTCGAAAACCCTGTAGTGAAATATAAGGAAGTAAAAAAAATAGAGTAGTAACTGCAAGCTGATTAAAAAAAAGTTTTTTTGACAACTCTTGACAGACGTTTGCGCTCTGTGTTTATATAAAAAGACAACGTCTGACGCTACTGGCAGCAAATGGCCGCCGCCGATTAAATGAGATGATTATTTCATGCATCAGACACGTTAAAAGCGACATAAAAATATAACCTACGAAGGTTCTACAGCTAGTAGACAATAATATTTCTTTATTATCTCTTTTTATTTTATTTAAATGGCACACATACAGTTATAATTATCAAATAATTACGTAAAACAATACAAAAACCAATTTGAAAAGTTGATAGCCATGTAATAAAAACAAAGCTATGTAATAAAAGACTCTTTTATCTGTGAACTCTTTTAAAAAGATTCCATAGATAAGAAAATTCAGTGCGTAACTAAAAAACTAGACTTGCAACGAATAGTATATTCGGCAGTATACCGAATACCGAATATTCGGCGAGGCCCCTGACCGAATATTAGACCGAAATATTAGGCAAAAGTATTCGGCTGGATTTTAGCGCCAAAAACTTGTACAGACGTGAATTAAATTATGTACCTGTTTTATGTACCAATGACTACTTAATAAATGATTATAAAAGAAATGAGAAGCTTACCCTTCTAAATTTTGATTACCACAATAATTCAAATACATAGAATCCTCCATTTTTCCTATTCAGAAGATGATTATGTACCTGTGTTATGCACCAATGACTACTTAAATGATTATAACAGAAATGAAAATATGAATATATACGTAATCTATCGATTTTAATTTTTCATTTTACCAATTATTTCTCAATTACAAAATATATTATTTAAGTATTCGGTATTCGGCCGAATAATATGTAGATATTCGGTATTCGGCCGAATATAATAAAAGCAGCCGAATAGGCCGAATACCGAATAGTAACCGAATATTCGTTGCAAGTCTATAAAAAACTCAAATGCTAATATAATATAATATCTTTTTTCCTAGCATTTCCCAAACAAAAAATGTTTTACACATAGATTCTAAAAAAATAGCCCAATTTTTTAATATTTTTTTACTACAAGACCATGCCATTTGATTCCAAATTTTGTATGGAGACCCGCCATTGTTCTTCTTGTTTTGTTCTTGTTGTTGTTTTGTAGTTTTTGTTTGTTGTTTTTTGTTCTTTTTTTATTGTTCTTTAATAGTTTTACCGCGGAAAAGCATTATTGGGCCACATTACAGTAAACCAGTGCTGAGCAGTTCTTTCCTTGCTTTTAATCGAGTGAATGAGGTTACCGGAGCCCAAACATCATCCCTTTTTGGCCCCGAACCAAAATGGGAGGAGGTTTGGGCTCCGGAGGGGGAGCTTACTCTTGTCACTCTTGAGTTGCAGATTTCAATGGGCGGCGGTATTCACTTACCATCAGGTGCTCTGTCTGCTCGGTTGTCAATTCAAATGCTTGGGACAGCCGCTTTAAGTGATTTTGTTAGTTTTCTTCAAGATCCTAGACAAAGATATTTTCTTCCAAAGATTGTTTGTAATTTTGCCACGAATCACTGCAGTTGTGTAATTAAAAAGTATTGAAAACGTATTATATGTAAATAGTAGCGAATTTAAATAAGCAAAACATTTCAACTGAATTTGTCATTTCCGCCAATCAGTCTCAATGTTGATGTCAATAAAAGAATTAAAAAACCACGTGTTCCTTAGAACCACCAAATGTGTTTTATTTTTATCATCATCATCAACAGCCTTTACTAGTCCACTGCTGGACATAGGCCTCTTATTAGAAAGGAGGTTTTGGCCTACTATAACAAGCTGGCCAGACAGGTTGGTATAGGGTTTGTTTAAAGTTGTCCTTCTGTCCATCTGTGCCTTCTGACTGTCCTGCGAAGTTATTTCCCTTAGTCGGCTCTTACGACCCCCACGGGACGAACAGGAGTAGTGATACTCCGTATTCTTAATCTATCATTACATGGAAATGGTTATTTTTATTAACAACGACTGCATTCAAAAAACAAGGTAACACTTATGGAAGGTGAAACATTTATTATTTATACTATGATCACACGTAGGTATTGAATTGACCGCACGGATGACGTAGTGGTTTGAGCGGTCACCTCGCCGCTTTCTACTACGCTGAGTATTGTGGGTTCGACCAACACATGGGACAACACTTTGTATGATCCTAAAATTGTTGTTCTGAGTTTGGGTGTTCTTTGCGTCCGTTTCATTTGTGTGTGTATAGTCCCACGCCGACATAGGATTTATTGATAATGCGGGAGTTCTCTTTAAAAAACAATCGCCTTAAGGGAACCATGCTAAAGATTGCCTGGTAATAAAAAAATGATTATGGGCTGATAAGGAGCTGGAGTTGGCTGCTCTGGTGTGGAACTGAACAGTTTTTGTATACAGTACACAGTTTTGAATACTTCATTTCACCTCACAATGGTATGATCATAGCTAGTTACTTTACAGGGTCTGGTGTAGTATTCATATGTGAAGAGCCGGTGTCTGTGATAGGCATTGATTACCTGTGTTACAAATCACCAAGTCCTCACCTGTTAAACGTATTTAATATTATAAATCGCAATCGAGACCTACTAAGAAGAACAGAGAACTTTAAGATAAGATTCTAGAACACAGATCATCATCATCATCATCAACAGCCTTTAAAAGTCCACTGCTGGACATAAGCTTCTCCTTAGAAAGGAGGTTTTGGTCTACTACACACAACACAGATAAACGTACCTAAATATTTTTCTTTGTAAATAAGTACTTAGGCTAATCTATACTAATAATTATTATTTTTATTTATTATTATTATTTTATACATCTCACACACGGCCGTCTGATCCCAAACTAGGCAGAGCCTGTACTATGGTAACCAGACTACTGATAAACATACTTATATATTTCTAAATACATACATATTATACCCAGACATAGAACAAATGATCGTGCTCATCACACAATTACTTGTCCTAGGTGGGCATCGAACCCACGACCTTCAGCTCAGCAGTCAGGGCCACTAACCTCTAGACCAACAGGCCTTTAAAGCTGAAGAGTTTGTTTGTCTGGTTAAACGCGCTAATCTCAGGAACTACTTTTTCGATTTGATTTTTCTTTTAGTGTTTGATATAAAAACGCTAAATAATATTACGCTACGAACAATAGCAGCCCAGCATCAATGGAAAATGCAAGAGGTTGGAAAATGTATGCCTTTTAAGAGACGCATATGAACGCGGATGTCAGCTAGTGTTAGCTAGGCTCTAATATAAATTAAGGATAAACGTAGTCAGCGGGTTCTTTGTAAATATACGTGTATGTATAGTTTTTTTTTGAAGACAACTCCCGCATTAGGAATATATCCTGTGTCGCGGGGGACTTTAAAAACATACATAAAACGGACACAAGGGACACCCAGATTCAGAACAACAATTTGTGGATCACACAAAGTGTCGTCCCATGTGGGGTTTAAACATAAACTCGGCGTAGTAGGAAGCGGCGTGGCGACCGCTTGAACCACTAGGCCACCCATGCAGTCTATACGTGCATACAAACATTTACTAGACTAATTGCTTTAAAGTTACTAATTACAAATAAATAATTTATAAAGTCACGGCATGGCACATTAAGTACTTTACCGACCGCAGTACAACCCTGTGCCGCAAACTATACACTTTTAACACATAGCTAATATTCTTTAAAAACATGCGTACGGTAGACCCCGAGTTATGGTCGCAGAAACTCAAGAAGCCGGCGATTAAAGTGACGCGTTCGAATAACTTTGGCCAAAATCTAGGTATTAGATACGAGAGGATTATCCGCAAGAGTCTGGTGGATGCCGCCAAGGAGTTTTGGGCGAATTGCTCGATGCCACTGGTGAAGATTATTAATTTGGAAGATAACAGCAAATTGGAGAGGTAAATAATGTTATACCTTAGTTTTTATTTGTGTCTTCGCTCGCGTAATAAAGATTGTAATCGCTCCATTATCCTATGTAGTTATTAACAAAAGCCCTTTTAATTATGGTAGACGGTAAGCGAGCAGACGGGTTACTAGAAAAAATACAAGTGAGTTGCCGTTTATGGGTTGAGTTGTTGGGTTTCCTGTACCACACTCACTCGGTTAAACCAATTAAAGAGTTCCTTGACAGCGATTTTTTGTAAGACCGTGGTATCACTCCTGATGAGCTGACCCATGTGTGTCGATGCATGGCATTTCCACATCGTCCCCTAGTGTCAATTTTTGTACTTACCCAAAAATCTATTTTAACATTGCTTTCAGGTACTGCTATATATTCCTTCTCGTCCTGAGCTTGGGATTAGGAATAGTGATAGTACCACACACCTGCTATAAATTTTATACAATCCCACCGTTGGTGATCAATGGGCTTCCGTCGCAGGCATCCATCGCGAAGGTTCATTTCCCAGCAGTGGCGTTGTGCAGCAACAATGTCATCAGTGGAACTGCACTCAACAACTACACAGAATACCTCTTTAAGTATAAATTTTATACATATTATATTGTTGTTTCTGACGCGACATACGCGTAATCTGGAATAGTCTGAGGATACTAAAAGGTGATCTTGGTGAATGAAGTTTATTTATCACTTTTCTCGGCAAATAAACATAAATCGAGCTTTTTTTATGATATAAGGGGCAAACGAGCAGACGGGTCACCTGATGGTAAGCAACTACCGCCGCCCATGGACACCTGCAACTCAAAAGTCACAAGTGCAGTGCTACCATTGGGCCCTCCCGCTCGAGTCAGCGGGGGTATTTGGGCTCCGGTAACCTCACTCACTCAGTGAAAGGCAACGAAAGAATTGCTTAACACCGGTTTCCTGTGAGGCCTTATTGTAAACAAGACATGTAACAGCACTGCACGAATTGTAGGTACAGTATAAAAGGTTTTTTATACTCCCGTGCAAAATCTGTCTCTATTAACTTCAAGTTTATCAATTCAAAAATATATTTTTAATTACAAATGAACTGGAATCAATAACGGTAACAACAAAACATTGAGACCAAACAAAACCAAACCATTAAAGGATAAGGAATTGCCTAAAGAGAAACATAACTATAAAAGAATCCCGGAAAATCAGAAATCAAATTCTATAATCTTTGACAGGGTAAAGCCTGTCTAGACAGATAGTTTAATATAAATAAAAATATACATAATGTACATCTGTGGTCTACTTTCGTTATCAAGCCACCCCAAGAATCAGAAGGGACCGCGCTACAACAGGACCGTTATAGAAGAACACCTGCTGAAGTTGGGCGCGCTGCTCATGATGGCGCGACCACCTGTGCAACTCCACTTCGACAAGTTCCTCACGGATGTACATCCTCAATTCAATGTCACGGACGTGATGTTTAGGGTAATATATTTAAATATGGCCGTTTAGAACATTTCAGCCTTATTCATTTATTACGCTATGACTTTTTTTCATAACATTCTAATATTACGTAAGTACCATTTAATAATTGACTGTGAATGACCTGTAGGTTTAGTGTTTAGTGACCCTGACTGCTACGCCAGAGCTCGTGGGTTCGATTCCCACCCAGAACAAATACGAGTAATTGTGTGATGAGCACGGTCATTTGTTCTGTGTCTGGTTGTATTTTATGTATTTAGAATGTATTTATATATATGTACGTTTTTTATGTTAGAGGGGGCAGACGAGCAGGCGGGTCACCTGAAGGAAAGTGACCACCGCCGCCCATGAACGTCTGCAACTCAGGAGTGACAAACGCGTTGCCGGCCTTTGAGGAAGGAGTACGCTCTTTTCTTGAAGGTTTGCAGGTCGTATCAGTCCGGAAATACCGCAGACGATAACTCGTTCTACAGATTGGTTGTGCGGGGCAAAAAGTGTCTCGAAAAGCGCACAGTAGTGGAGCGCCATCTATCCAGGTGGTGAGGATGAAAATTTTGCCGTGTGTAACGATGGCGGAAGGTTGCGGCTGGTATGTTTATTAGCAGTCTGGTTACTAGTACAGGCTCTGCCTAGTATGGGATCAGACGGCCGTGTGTGAAATGTGTGAAAAATATAATATACTTACTATTAATTATCGCACCTATAAGCAAAATTAAGTACTTCTCTAATTGCCCCTCTTATGAATAAGCAATTTTTCTTATAATCTGGTAACTTGTATACCCGTACTATACCTATCATTTATGAAAAAAACTACATTCTATTTAAATCTTATACTTTTTCATTTAGAGGATTCTTTGTCATCCTGTCCACTTCTGGGTACAGAAACATCATTCCAATTTTATTTGACTTCGGCGCAATGTGTGACATTATAAAAGGGTTATGGCAAGAGAGGTTAAAAATTTTGAGACGGAGCCCGCACCAGGAGCGGGCAGGCGCTAGGAAGGGTCCGGATGTCTTAACAACAGCTGTTCCCGGATCCCTCCTGTTACAGGCGCAGAGTGGCACACCGTGTGGTTTTAGTCGGTCCGAGTCCGACACACCACCCCGCCGCAAACCCCGCTGGGGTGACGGTCCGAGGGGATTTCCACACGTTAAAAAAAAAATAAAAAAAAATGGTTGCTTTTATAGCCCGCCGTTTGCCTCACGCGAACTCTCCGTGGGTTACCAGTTGTGATAAAGGTATGAATTACATAATGTTTAGGTAAAGAAAACGGATAAACGGACAAACGATATTAGCTGGCCTAAAACTTACAGATAATTAATCTTGATTATACGCAAAATGTATACATTACCATATGGGTAACAATTTAACATATTATACTGCACTATTACAGGCCCAGGTGTCATGCATAACCAGTCACTAATTCCACAATTGATCTGTTTAGTTGACGCCCACGTGCACGTCGATACTGGAGCGCTGCAGCTGGCGAGGCCGCCAGGTTCCGTGCGACACTTTATTCGCTACTCGAGTCACGCCGCTAGGATTCTGCTGCGTTTTCAACTCTAGATACTAGTAAGTTAAATTTGAGCTAGAGAAAAACTACAGAAAAACATCTAAACACACAAAATTATCATTCAGCAAAGTATGAGTCGACGGTGACGGATGAAGAGTACATCTGAAGAGTTCGTCTGTGCAATAGAAACTTATGTGCTTGCACTCTCTCAGAAAAAAATTAAAAAGAAACGAATTATCTTTGACTAACTTGAAACTATAGACTTTTAAGTAATTAAGTGGGTGTCGTAAGAGCCGACTAAGAGAGAAAACTACGCAGGAGAACAGCACTGCAAAGAGATGCAAAACTTGAAATAAACCCTATATCAACCCGTTTGGCCAGCGTGGTATAGTAGGCCAAAACATCCTTTCTATCCATCCTATGGCCAGCAGTGGACTATTAAAGGCTGATGTGAAAGCATGCATTAGTGTCATGTAGCGAAGATATGCCAAAGTATGTAGTAAGTATTTAATATAATCCTGAATGGCCCAACGAACGTTTCAGAGTGCTACTTGTAACCGCTTTTCCTCTCAGGCGGACTACTCACCGGCTGACCCAGTGGAGAGATTTATGAGATAACCTCAGGGCGCCTTTATAAGAGAACAGATGTGTGTGCGTGTGGGAAACCTACGGGATTCACTAGAGGAAAACAACTTACACCTCAGTCATGCATACATGTATATTAAAATAAAAAAAAACAAAATGAAGGTTACAATAAAAAACAGAGGGTATAAGAAAACCCGCAGCGGAGCGCGTCAGAGCCGAGCTGATGGTGCTCGGTGCCTCCTCGTCTTCACTCCAGGAGGTTACTTCCTCTTCTGCCCGAGTCGGCTATTTATATTAGATATTGATAAAAGTTAAACAATTTGCATTTATAAGTTTATAAGTAAGTACGTAACCCTTGGGTACGGCTGTCCGCTTGCGTCGTGAGCCACGCAATCACCAGCTTGCCAGAGGGTACCGAGAAACTTGAGTCTGAACCAGAAGGCCACAAACGAGCAAGCACGCCGTCTGAGACTGACCGTCTTGACCCCGAAATCTGGGACCCTACGAATGGATTAGCACTCATATAATTAATCAGGTTCCAGAAACAAATAGGTTTAAGAAGAATTAAGACCATACTCACCACTTTAGTGGGTACTTTTGAACAGATAATATATTACGAAAATCAAATCACACAGCAATCAAAACACTATTTAAGATTGGAAGGCACGAGATAGCAGTGTATCCCGTGGCTGAAAGCCGGACTTATATATCCTCGGTTCAGGAAGCTTCCAGAAATTAACCCCTACTCAACATTTTAATTTGACATTTAAATTGTGAACGAAGACAACACTAACAAAATCAAAAGTAACTTGCTTTCTACCATAACAAAACATTCTCAATACCTATACAATTTGTCATGATAGATTAATAAAAAGACTTATCTCAAACACAAACGCCATCTAGTGGTCTGACAGTGAACGAAGAAGATCAATACCGTAGCTACAAACTACTTTAGATAAATCAACAACAATGCGATGCGGCCAACAGGTGTCGCTTTTAACAAGACAGTACGCATTACAAATATACCAAAAAAATAACTGTTACATACTGAGAGGTGTGATAATTTTTCAGGGTCGTAAAATAATGTACCCAAAGAATAATGTAAATCATCCTTTTTTGTTACAGAAAAAGCCAATATTTAAGCCACCACAAAGCGCTGACAATAACAATCTTTAATTTCCAGTCCAGTTGACGCCAATAACCAACCGCACGTCCTGGACCTGATCGGTCACAATTTGGGGCTCGGAGTGGTGATCACTGAAAATAAAGATGACTTCAAGTATGTTCGCAGAAATTCGAACGGCGCAGAGGTACCGAAGTATTCTTCAAACTATTATTTATTTAGTTAGTATTTAGCATTTTTAATTTTTTACAAGTAATTATAAAACCATTCTAGTAATAAGCGATATTCGTGGTATTGTATTATTGCAATGTAAGGAGTTAGTTCTTTAACATGTATAATTTAAAGGTACAAGAAAAAATGTCGAAGAAAGTTGCTTTGAGCTGAATTTATTTATTCTGATGATAACAACATCAGCTTGATCATCGAAATCGATGAAACATGTAAGAGCGACTGTTGCCGTGACGAGTCGTCATGCGCATCCATCGCCACGTTAGGTGATAGTATATGTATCATATAATGCGGTGTGGCGACGCGTCGCCATGCGCATATTACATTTTTGATTATAATTTATCTAATATTTTCTTTTTTGAGCTAACATTTTTTACTCATTATTTATTATAAAATAATTTCGATGTTTTACATCTGCCACACTCTAAATCTCAATTTTTTTATTATTATATCTGTTTATTTAACTATTCAAGTATATTTGTATTTTTGTTCAGATGTTACTGTTCGAAGGTTCGGAGTACCCACTGCTAGAAAGCGGAGATGTGCGCTTGTACCCTGTGCCGCGCAACAATTCGCTACATTTTAACATTAAAGTAATCACACAATATGCACATGATGATATCAAGTTATTTAGTGAGAAATATGTAAGTACTATATATATTTCTATTCTTTTGATAATAGCCACAACACAACCAACCACCACTACTGCTATCTTGTTCTTTAAATGCCTCGCCGACTAGTGAAGGTTGGCAGTCAGCTCAGCGTACTCTTTCTTGTGTTTCGCGAGACGAAAGAGATCGGCAGCACTCGCGATTATCATCCATTTCTGAATGTTTTTCTGTTGTTAATATCTTTCATGTGTAAGCACGTGTCCGAGATTTGCAGCATTTCTCTTTCAGACGGTCACCAATAATTGCCGTTTCTGGTTAACGCGTCACTATACTTCCTCATTCGAGACCCTCTGAGTCCAACTAAGGCATTCGCCAATATGCCTACATACACTACTGTTATAAACTATCGAATCCAATTAATAACTGTAATTAGGATGTCGTTCGAACGTTCGTTCCTTCGTCGAACTTGTCTGCCATTTCGGCAAATTAGTTAAATTAGTGAAAAGTTGGTGAAACAGATGGGGACTTTTACTAAATGTGCCTATAAGTATAAAATGTGATCCACGAATCAAACGAAAATATCAGTAACTAGCCACTCAGTTCGCGATAATACCACGTTTAGCGGAATAAAGTCTATGTGCTATTTAAGGCATCTGAAAGTCTGTATCTGCAGTATCCAAAGTTTACAATATATAGTAGTAAAACGATAGCTTCACCACTGTCACCAATTCTCGGGTACTCCTGGTTACCGACAGCTGGTTTCGTTGCTCTATGATTGGGTGGTTGGGTTCCGCAGCGAGGCTGTCGGACGGAGGGTGCGGGCATGTCGCAGTGCCTGGCGGCGTGCCAGAGCGCCACGGCCGCGGCGATCTGCTCGTGCGTGCCCTACACGCTGCACGCCGCCCTCAACCACGACGGGAGGCGCGTCTGCTCCTTGCGAGACGTCTACTGTCTCAACAAGCACAGAGGTATCTATACCACTATACCGCTGTTCGCTGTTCACGAAGCTTGAACTGTTATTGCATAGAACCCTATAATGTTATGTAGCTGTTTCTACATAATTAATGTGAAACATCTAATAAGGAAAGTCAGACCGGTGTTGACGTGACGACGTATGCCTTGGCGACGCGTATGTGATAGTATATGTAACATGCAATGCGATGTAATTGTCCCATATTTATTACTAGCTGACCCGCGCAACTTCGTCTGCGTCTCTCAATAGTAATAAATTTTCTCCGTTTTTGGAAAATTATTCATTGGTGCTCCGCTCCTATTGCTCTTAGCGTGATGATATATAGCCTATAGCCTTCCGCGATAAATGGGCTATCTAACACTGAAAGAATTTTTCAAATCGGACCAGTAGTTCCTGAGATTAGCGCGTTCAAACAAACAAACAAACTCTTCAGCTTTATAATATTAGTATAGATTTCCTTGCACATCTGCCTGTCCTATTGTCAATTTTTTTTAACTTTGTGGGACATCCTTCTGTTCGGACCTGTCGACTATTGTCGAACTTTTAAGGCTTCTACATATTAACATAAAGTATTCCATATATGATAATATGCTTCCCTTTGCTTGCTTTTCCGTGCGTTATAATACACGCATAGATAAAGGACAAACTAAATTATGGCGTATTGGTTTAAGCGGTCGCCACGCCGCTTCCTACTGCGCCGAGTGTTGTGGGTTCAAACCCCACACTGGGACGACACTTAGTGTGACCCACAAATTGTTTTTCTGAGTCTGGGTGTTCTTTGTGTCCGTTTCATGTATGATTGTAAAGTCCCCCGCGACACAGGATTTATTCCTAATGCGGGCGTTGTCTATTTAAAAAAATAAAAAAAATACTACACTTTGACCTAAAACTTTAGGTATATACGATGGCCAAAACTAAAAAGATAAAACATAATTCTTTTTCTTACTAATTATGTTATATGACTTACAAAATTAATAAGAGCAATGCAAATCCAAAATAATATGTTTTGCTCCTTAGAGAAGTTTCTGTACCTGTTCCCACCTACGGCGGACAAGGACGACCCGCAGATATCGGAGGAGCTGCAGAACGGGATCGACTGTCCCAAGTGTCTCGTATTGTGCAAGAGGCAGGTGTACTGGGCCAGGGTCTCTTACGTACAACACAATGGGGGCGTTGGCATCTTCAGAAATTTCCTTACGTGAGATATATCTCATCATCATCACCTTTAACAGTCCACTGCTGGACATAGGCCTCTCCTTAGAAAGGAGGATTTGGTCTACTATACCACTATATTATACCTACATTAGATATATAGTTCGATTATATAAAATAAGGATGGGGAGGGTTTCAATAATTGAATTATGCTCCATACCTACCTAGGTAACTATGGATGAGATATTCGTTTGTTAGAATTTTGAGATACAAATACACAGTTTAACAGGTAAACTTTATTTTACATTTTTGTTGGATTACATTTGTGGTAATACGTAAAAGAAGACAACAAAGCCTTGTGTGCTTATCTTAATATTCAATGCATCGAGAAGACCGGTGCTACTACACAGAATGTTAATAATATAATACTTTAACCTAAGTTGGAATGAAAAATTATTGGTATGACAAAATGGAAATACACATATTTAAATAAAAGTAGAATGTTTACACCTGGCTTTCTTTATAATCAAGCAATATAAGGATATAAGCTCAAACAACAGAGCTCGAGCTTCTGGATTTTAACGGTATTTCACTTATTAGGATAAGTTAACAGCTTACATGCTCATGTCATAAATAATTCTCATTTTTTTAGAACTAATAGGCTATAATTAGTATAGACTACATTAGATTTAAGAATCTTTAACAGCTATATTTTTAACCGAATTGCTGTGACAGCATTAGACAAAGTACCTACTTTGTCTAATGCTGTCACAGAAATTCGGTTCTATTTGTATACCCACTCCATTTTAATATTTATTACAAATAATGTTAAAACCGATTGGCGCGAAAATGAAAAATCACAATGAAAACTCATATAAGAATGACAGACTCCAAATTCAAATGTAATATTAGGTATCTATGGTTTTCTTTATTGTTACAGTATTTATGGCCAGACTAAATATTGTGTCGTATTAGGTAGTATTTTTTTTTTATTGCACAGTGTTTCTTTTTTCACTGTTGTTTTTTTATGTTTCTTACCCGATTTGGAAAATTATTTTTACTAGTAGGTACGTTACCCGTTTGGTCGCGTTAAAATTTGAAGAAAATACATCACCTATAACTGTAAAAATTAAAAAGTGAAGAACACAGCTTATGATAATTGATCACGATATGTACACAATGAAGTCGGTGACTTTTATAAAAGTTAAATATTTACGTTGGAACTCATCGTAATACATACAATTGCTATTTTATTTATGCAGGCGCTAAGAGTAAGCTAAGAGTAAGGCGTAACATGATTCGCCTGATTCTACTGACCTACTACATACTTACAGACAAAATTCATTTTTAATACGCGCGAGTCGACAGTATAATAAAATTTCATCTCAATATGAAATAGACCTATATGGTACCAGTGTTTCTAAACTTAAAAAAATGTTAGCTAAGAAATTTTTCGATTGAGCACGTGTGCTGGCTTTGTCTTTGTTTACTGACTTCTAATTTAATGTTACGCGTGTATTTTTTAATCGCGGATATTTGTAAATGGCCATCAGATGCTTATGTATTATGTCTTATGTGTTTTTCAATAATGCTAGCTGTATTTATCCCAAACAGAGAAAAAATAAAATAAAAATACTTATATTATAAACTAGCTTATGCTTTAAAAAGTAGCCTATGTTCCATTGATGACATATTTTTTTAAATCGGTTAAGAGGTTTAGACGTGAAAGCGTAACAAACAAACAAACTCACTAGCACATTTATAATAGAAGTGTGGAAGTATGGATTTTGTCTGACACACACGACACACAACGCCATCTAGTTTCAAACTGAGCAGAGCTTGTACTATGAAAGCTAGATTCACTGATAGAATACTTAGGTATATGCTTATTTTTGGAAATACATAAATATTATAATAGAAAACACCCAAACTCTGAAACAAATATTTGCAGATCACACAAACAATTGGCAGCAGTCGCATACGCTGGCACTAAGCTACCGAGACAGTCAAATATGAATAAATCATCAACTTACTTGCATTGATAGTGTAATAGATTCAGCAGTGACTTCAGAGAACTAGAGATATGTAAATTACAAGAAAATTCACGAAAGTATAATAATATATGTAAAATTTGTGTGTTGGATAGTGAAGGACTACGACTTATAAACTCAACTACGATTCGAATGTTCTACGCCTCGGACCACTACGAACGGTTCGCGCTGGAGCCTTACGTGCGCTGGTATGAGGTCTTGGGTATGTCTGTTACTTCGAATACTTAGAAGGAGTCATTTACTGTTGGTAAAACACTTATTGATGGCAATCAATTATGCCAATTCAAAAAAAGTTTGAATATTCATTAAATTGAAATGAATTTCAATTCGAGATTTATCCAACACTGACTGGATAATGTTAGGTTAGGTTGTATATTTTAAAATTAATTAATATAAAAGAAAATAGATTATCAGCACGTGAACTGCAAGTGTTCATGCAAGGCTGCAGGAAATAACAATGCACTAAGAACATACTCATAAATTTTACACCTCTAGTCCTCGTCCTAATGAACTCGTATATTTTTATACAATAATAACATTATAAACAGTTTTCTCATAAAATAAACTATGAAGCAAGAACAATACCCTCAGTGCACTTGATTATAAACGCCACTCATTTTTCTAACCTATTACCCAGCCGGCATTGGATAGACTTGGTTAATGTAGACATCCCAAATCAAAATTTATTTCAATTGTTTCGGATATTACCCAAATACCTTGTTGATTCGTAGTTAACCCGAGTAAACCTCAGTTTACCCCGACTTCTAGCATTACCCGCGTTATACTTACTCGTATATTTACATAGCATTATTATATTTTATTGCAGCAATCCTAAGCACAGAGTGGATGGCACTGGCTGGCACTTCTGTGGTGGTCGTCCTCGAGGTAGTTTACTACTTCACCTTCAGGTGGATACACCATTTTATTAGGAGGAAGAGGCTTGGTGATCTGCGATCGCACTCTATGTAATTTATTTGGAACTGCGTGTCAAACTTTAGCGCCATCTAGCTATAGATTTAGTTAACTATTTGTGTTTTTTCTATTCAAATATAGATGGCGCTTTTATGGTTATTTTAAAACCACTAACGAATAAGTACTTATGTAAATGTTTGGTTATTTGATGTAATAAAATATTATTTGAAACATACTTATTTTTTTATACGCTTTTTTACTAGTTATATTTTATTTTTATAGTTTCTTTTATGTTTTCCCATAAACATAATACAAAAAGAACGCTATACTTTTTGCCGGTTATGCATAACTGTCAACTGTGCGTCATACCTACATTGAATACTAGCTATTGCCAGCGGCTTCACTCGCGTGATTGTTCTTATTTCGTATTTCTAACTTTCAAAATTACGAAGTTTCATACATCCGGCCATCCCTAATTTTACCCAGGGGTGAAATTTCCGAAAATCCTTTCTTAATGGGCTTAATAAATTTACGCCAAAACCACTAAACTACCACCGATTTAAAAAATTCTTTCACCTATGGAAAGCTACATTATCAGCGAGTAACATAGGCGTCCAAAACCTCCTTTCTAAGGAGAGGTCTATGTCCAGCAGAGGACTTTTATAGGCTGTTGATGTGATGTGATGTGAACACAGGCTTAAACTGCGTAAAACAAATTTGTAGTTGTAACGTTTGATTATTTTCATAGAAACGCAAAACAAATAAAGAAGAAGCAAATGAACAAATTGGTAATTTTAAAAGCTAGCATTTCCCTCTCCGACCGATCCCCGCTAGGCATTTTTTTTTAATCCTGCTAAACTGAACCTAAGCCTTGTGTAACTTGACGCATCTCTCTTACCATCTGACCCCAGACTAGGCAGAGCCCATACGAATACTATGATAACTATACTGCTGATAGACATACATAAATATTTCTAAATACATACATACATTTTATGTAACAAATGATCTTGTATATCATACAATATTGGTCCTGGGTTTGAATCGAACCCTGGCATAGGAATCAAGATCGCTAACCACCTGACCGACAAGCCAGTCAAGTCAATAATTAATTAATATTATTTCCGGAATATAAAATCTCTCGTCATGTTTCAAAATAACAAATAAGTGCTACTAACGAACATAAATAATTGCTAGGTATAGTTAAACCGCCGTAAGCTTGGCCCTCCTGATGGTTTGCGGGACGCGGGGCGGGTGATGCGCTCGGCTATACATGACACGATGTACTAACTCGATATCTTCAGATTTATTTGTTCGAGATTTAATCTACACACAATGTAATAAAAATCGAATTTATTTCCATGTATTATAATGTCAGTGTATTGTAAGTTTTTATGATTAATTGTAAAATTTAATACTGTAAAATAATTTTAATAAAATCACCTTATCTTCATCATGTAAATTATATTCAGATACAATTTAAAAATTAAGTAACATAATAAATATTCTTTATTAGAACTTTAACAACTTGAAATTCGGCTTACAGAGGTTCTACACCTCTGTAAGCCGAACTTCAAGTTTTTAAATCTTTTTGTGACCCAGAGTCGGCAGATTATCACTGTTGCAAAATAATACCGAGTGTAGCAGTCTTAAGAAAAATGACACGTACAGCCATGCTTTCACGTCAGTCACTTCCGGCGGACAGCGACGCACTAGCTAATTGGTTGAATGCACCCCGCCCCGCGTCCCCCAAACCATCAGGAGGGCCAAGCTTACGGCGGTTTAACTATAGGCTAGCAGACACAACACAACAGTAATTAACAAATATACCGCAGAACTACAAAACACAATGTAACAAAAAAAGTTGTTTATTTAATTTATTTAAATTTTTATGTCTACATATAAATGAAACATTTATTGAACCAAAAAAATCGCACACCGAACGTATTGCTATGGCTTTTTTTTCTAATGTAGAGGGCAATCGAGCTGATGGGCTACCTGATGTAAAATGAGTACTGCCATCCAAGAACACCGTCCTTGAGGGTGCCGGCTGAACTTCCCCCTCATCCCTTGAGATAGGAGGGAGGGGCTCCGGTTTCCAAATGTCCAAATGTCAAATTGGTTATGATTTATTCTTTTGTCGTACCACGGTATTGATAAATTCAGAATGTTAATTTGGCTGAATAAACTCAGATTAGTGCCGTCCTGTCTAGTGGCAATATTATATAAATACACATAGACGTTTATATCCTCGAAATGGTACACAGAAGTAGATGAACGCCAACATTTCACCTACTATATTAACTCCACTTACGTACATATTAAGGCACTTTAATAATGGGCCGGAAAACGGAGAAACGAAGTTAAAAAAGGAAGACATTATAGTAAAGGATATGAGTTGCAGGAATGGTAATAGCTCGTACAGGACAGGGTTGCGAAGCTGTAACTTGAACTGCCGAAAAGACCAAACCTAACCTTTTAAATTTTGTAGAACTGGGTTCGTATAGGAAAACTAAAGGTACTCAGAGCTAGTAAAAACATTATTTGCATGTAGTCGTCTGAGTACTGAATGATGTGTGATGTGGATTGTAATATTAAAAAGAACGACTTCAAAAACAATAATATCGTATAGTTGAATATTTCGTAATATTTGATAATCTAGATGTACTTGTAGTTTCAAATGTTAACCTTCGACGAAGTCTAGTCACGAGTTCAATCGTTATATAATATAGTCGATTTAAGATGTAAATTCAGACAACATTGTTTGATAACTTGATAAACTTGTAAACAATACTTGATACATATTAAAGATAACCTTCGTTGTGTGTAAGATTGGTACTAATTCTGTTGTTCAAAAACTCTCTAAACTAAACTAAAAATCACTAAAAATGTTTCTAGTCCTGTCAAATACTACGTTTTCAGAATAGGTAACGTTGTTCATCAGGACTAAACTAATTTTTAGTGATTTTTTGTTTAGTTTATCAAGTTTTTTAACAACAGAATTAGGAACATTATCTATCTAACTTAAAACTCGCGACAACATTGTTACAAAGGCAAATTGATCCACTGGAATAAGCAAGGTCTGTCTTTACTTTCTAACTGCTGTTTCCAATATGCTGCTTCCTCGTTGTAACGAAGAGGGGGCCTACGTGCGTTGACGGTCAGAATTACGCAACGGCAAGGAAGTGCGCTGGCGATTTGCCTAAATAAAGGAAACTTCGATTTAGTTTCCTACCTGTCTTCTGTGCTATTCCAGATCAACAGAAAGTGCTGTGCACGCTCCATGTCCAAGGCCTACATTAATTGTAAATTTAATAATTTTAAATTAAAATAACATAAAACTATAGACTTTTTTGCTCTATCTACGCGCCGGACATAAAATCTTTGTAAAAATACTTTACCGACCAAAGTATAAATTCATTTTGGAGTTATTTTTTTACAGTAAAAAAAAAGACAACTCCCGCATTTTTTTCTTTTTTTTTTCTGTCGTAGTTGAGGACATAGGCCCTCTATATCCTCAACTACAGTTACATTTTCAATGCCAAAGTTTAAACTCAAGCACTTACTTCAGCATACACTTCTAAATTATCGAAGTCATATTAACACAAAATGTTTATTGACACTTCAATAGTCGTAATTTCGAAATACCCTTAATATTTTATAATTTTGACGTTTAAACCCTTGAAATTTTAAATATGCTCTCACCTGTCACTCACTTGTCAAGTTAACAACTCTTTGCATGCAACAAAAATAAAAAAAGCTATAAATATTAATGATAATAACATTTTTGTTGCATTAGCAGGTCATCGTGTACATAAAAATATAATAGGTAAGTATAGTTACAGAAACAATGAAATAATTTTACATTTTTACGTGAATAAATCACGCGTAAAAACGAAACACGTGTCAAAACCATTGAACTAATATTACTATACTTACATTGTAACTGTATGGTCAAAACTCCTATTTGATTTTGGTTCTTGTCATTGTTAGGGTTTACACAACAAGGATGAGTGATATATTTTCCTTTCTCAAATAAGATTCTCAACAAATACATTAAAAAATTATTAGTTTCAAATTAATTCTAATTTTTTCTTGCCATTGCATCCGTATGCTTACTTAAAAAATTGCTTATGAAATGACGCTGGGGTGCTGGAGTCGTTGACCTCTTTCTTTCTTTTTTTAAAAGACAACTGCCGCATTAGGAATATATCCTTTACAAACACTTTAACTTTACAAACATACACGAAAAGGACACAAAGAACACCTAGACTCAACAACAATTTTTGGATCACACAAAGTGTCGTCCCAAGTGGGCTTTGTACCCACAACACTCGACGTAGTAGGAAGCGGCGTGGCGACCACTTGAACCAATACGCCATCCGTGTAGTCTTTGCAGAAACGATTCACCTCCACAGTCGCTACCAGGTGAGTTTGGACGATTTCTAAGGATTTTTAGTACTAAGGAAACATTTTCTCGACTTTTTTTTCTTTTAATGTTTGTTTCAGAACTGTTGTACATTTTTAACTGTTCGTATGACTTTGTATTGTATCGACAGAAATATGTTGTCGAAAACTATGTGAGTGTAACACTTCTTTCTAATTATCTAACTTCATGTCTTCGGCAGTCAGCCGTGCGATAAAACTCCACGCCCATCACCATTTACTAACCTTTCAGATCTCAACCTTCTTTTATATAATACCATATTATCATAACAGACCCGCGATGACTCCTCAAGATCTGTGTCAAGGGAACGTCCGTTTTAGAGGTGACAAACTCTCGTCTGTTTTTGTACTTTTGACATTTTGTGTCTGCATACACAATGTACACATCCAGTGTTTGTGTTTGGTACTTATGTTCATTAAAAATCTACTCAAGTGCAATAATAATGTTTACTTATAAATTATAAGTAAACATTATTATTGCACTTGAGTAGATTTTTAATTAACATAAGTAAACGCAAAAACTAGAACTCTCCCGGTCCGTCAGGGAACGGGCAAGGTACCACAGGAGACTCAGGCGCCGGAGGTCGCAAAACGACCTCCGTCCTCCATAAGCGCAGGCCTGGGGGTGACAGGTGAGGCCATCTGTCCCCCTAGCAGAAGCAGGCAAAGTTGGCTGAGCGACGCGCCCTTTAGGTTGTAGAAGGGGAACACCGTGGTTCCCACACACGAGGTAGGTCCGTCGGGGTACCAGGGATTTCCTTCCTAGCGTACACCTGGTTCCCGGCTACTGGTACCCGAGACGGCGTGCGGTTTTTGGTCGGTTCGGTGGGCGGTATCCGAAGGGATTTCCGCACAGGCAAAACAAAAAAAAGAAGGCAAAAACTATGTTATTAGGACAAAATATTTATGGATTTAATTTATTCGTACGTAAGAATAACAATACAAATCATAAAATTATATTAATTCAAATTAATTCAAATCATAAACAATACAAAATTATTTTAATTATATATTAAAACATAATTCAATTTTAGAATCGAATTCAGTGCCACAGTAGTTCCAGACACAGGTTCCTCTTAATACTAGGAATCGCTTGGTGGTCTGTTATTGAGCATAATAAAACTTTGAATAAGTATTTGATAATATTTCCTTGACCTTTTTCAATTATAAATCTCAATTTATCTTTTATCATAAGTTGTGTAAACTTAACGGTCATTGTATGGACTTGCGACTAGTCGACAAGTGTACGAGAACGTGTACCTTGATAAAATCGTTTTAAATAATTTAAAAAAAAACACCTACTTATGATACAAATATTAATTTTCTGTACTACTTTTCCGTACAATTTTCTTTAAGTATTCAAAATTTCACTACACAAAGAATTTTCTTTACTTATTAATGTAGTAGCTAGTACCAGCGACTTCGTTCGTTTGGAATTCGAATTGAAAATCTTAGCGTGCTTTAGTGGTGTAGTACGGGTCGCGACTGCATTCCATCAGGCCTCGGGTTCGATTCCCGGACCGGGCAAAATTACAAGTTACTCCGTATATAGACAGCTACCTAGTAGTAAACTATTATCCCAATTAGTCCAGCCGTTTTGAAGATTACCCGGAACAAAAAGACAGACCAAAAATATTTAACCTGGATTTTAGGCATAGGTATCGTGCAAATAACCGAGTGAGCATAAAAAAGCCTATTATTTTGACATTACAAACAGACACTTCAATTTTATTTATTTGTATAGTTAGTATATAGATTATAGGTAATAAAGGTTTTGTAAAGTACGCAAATACAGCGAGGTCGGAGTTAGGACGCTAAGCAATAACGAGGCTAGACAGTACATACCGTCCGATTTAGACCATCCCGGCATTTAAGGCATTCTAGTCAATGACGTCGCTATCCGTCCCCTCCAGGGGCACTAATCACAATTAATTCCTCTTAGAAGCCTGCAAGGAATTTAATAGCCTTTGTCCTACCGCACAGAAAACAGGAGAAATTTAAAGAAATAAATATAATGACAGTGGCAAGTCAATATATTTATGAAAATGTAATATATGTTCACAAAAATAAAGATAGCTTTTTGAAAAAAAGTGATGTACATGCCATAAATACCAGAAATAAAAATAACTTTGTTGTACCCGCCTCTAGGCTCCAAAAGATAAACAAGTCTTTTCGAGGTCAATGTGTCCGATTTTATAATAAAATCCCAAATAATATTCAGGAGTTGAGTATTAACAAATTTAAATCCGCAATAAAACGTGGCTTGTGCCAGAGGGCCTACTACTCGATTGTGGATTACATGGAGGACAAGAATGCTTGGGATTAATTAGCGCAGGCTATTTCTTTCTTAAGTAAAAATGTGGTGTGGCTAGTATGTTTTTTATTATTATTATTTTTTCTATTTTTTATGTTTCACTTCATTTTCTCTTGTATTCGTTTTTTCTTCTTAATCTTGTTTTTCTCTTCGTTGTTTTTTTCACCTTTAAGTCCTTAATAACGGACATACTAGCACACATCAAAACAATGTTGTGATATATTTAATAGTGCCATTGTATCTACTTGTGAATTGCAAAAGAGTGGCCATGAGTTTGTTTGCCCTTTCTTCTCATAAGGCTCAACCCCTTGGAAACGGGCGGTTGTAGATCGGCACAGGCATATCATAGATTTTGTATGGGTTTGATTTTTGTTAAATTTATTTGGTTACTATTTGACAAAACAGAGATTGTTGCTTTTGTGTGTGTTGATCTATGACTTTAGAGTCTACATGGAAGACGATTTCAAACAATTTTGGAAATTTTATGAAATAAAGAAAGTTTGAGTTTGAGTTTGAGTTTGAGAATACTTAATACGCCTAATACTAGGTATTTCTAACGGAGAGCATATGGTTTATATCATGGCGGCGCTTCTTTGTCGCATTTTGGATCATGAATAAAATTTGTTTGGAGGTTTTTAATGTTATAAAATGGGGCTAATAGTTCGTTTAACATAGCTGAGAGTAGTCTTAAGCGTTAGATAATGTATATTGTCGTGAAACAGTTTTATGAGCTTTAGACTTTAGAGTAGTAACCATTTTCCAATATCCAATAAAAACATACAGGTGATTCACTAGCGACATTGGTTCTAAGCACATCTGATGCATCATTATCTACATATCATTGTACCGAACCATTCAACGTAGTTTTCGCCAACATAAACATATTTACTTGAATAATTTGATACGTATTACGGACCGGTGACAAAATCGACTGCACGGATGGCGTAGTGGTTTAATCGGTCGCCACGCCGCTCACTACTACGCTGAGTGCTGTGGGTCCGATCCCCACATGGGACCACACTTGGTGTGATCCACAAATTGTTGTTCCGAGTCTGGGTGTCCTTTGCGTCCGTTTCATGTATGTTTGTAAAGTCCCCCACGACACAGAATTTATTCCTAGTGCGGCAGTTGTCTTTTTAAAAAAGAAAAAAATATATAAGACTTAAAATGAGAAAATAAATTATAGTCATTTTTTTTTAGAAAAATATTTCAAATGTGAATAATATTTCATTACTATTCTTTGTTAAAGGAGATGTATTATAAAGATATACCTAGTAAGAAACATGCCTTAGTTCGTAACAGTCGGTTAATCCGAGTTTTTGTTCCAGTTCAGTTTTAGTTCACATCATTCGTTACGCACTATGTAATTAAAACACTGTATCATTCGTTTTATTTCGTGGTGTGAATAAAAATAGTTAAGAATAATAAATTATAATTAAACATCAAGTTTAGATGTCCACTAAAAAATCAACACATCCTTAGATCCCAGATCTTAGACTGTCTGACCATAACTGTAGCGATGAATCAGACTTCTGAACAGACAAGTACAATTTATAAAAAAAAAAACAGCTCGTATTACTTGCCATTGATATATTTTCTAACTCCTTAATATAAAAAATACAGTATTATACTAAAGCCGCTTTTTATACAAACCTGGCTTATATTAAGTAGGGATTCGAAAACTAGCTTTACTTGACACTAGCTGAGACCCGCGGTATTACCCGCGTTTGTTGTTATAACCGCGGGCAACGCCGTGGGGCGAAGCTAGTCTAAAAAAAGTAGCCTAAGTTACTCCTTATGTCATCAGCTAGCTATCTGCCAGTGAAAGTCCCGTCGAAATTGGTCCAGCCGTTCCAGAGATTACCCGGAACAAACAGACAGACAGACAGACAGACAAAAATTGTAAAAAATGATATTTTGGCATATATACCGTGTAAACATACATATGTATTTAGTAAAAAGAGGTTATTTTAATATTACAAACAGACACTCCAATTTTATTTATTTGTATAGATGACATATACTTGTATAATCCAATACAAAACTCTTAATTCAGTGCAGGGAATTAATTTTTACATTTGTAATTGAACACGTGCACAGCAATGTACGATAGGGATTTAATAAAACCTTATACACATATGAGTACTTGCATACTACGTATTTGAGCCCCTGACAGAGTACTTTCAACTTGAACGAAAGGCGATTAGGTGTTATCCAAAATTCCAGAAAGTTTTATGGTAAGAGACCGAAATGAGTAGACAGGTCGCCTGATAATAAGTGATCACCACCTTCTCTGGATACCCGCAACTTAGGAGGGACAAGGGCTTTGTTGCCCTTTGAATGTAGAGATGGGTTTCGTCATTCACTCAGTAAAAAGAGGCTTTGTTATCACTCCGATGGAGCTAGCCTTTTTTTTTACGTGTGGATACCCCCTCGGGCCGTCACCCAACCGGGGTTTGAGGCAGGGTGGTGTGTCGGAATCGGATCGACTAAAACCACACGGTGTGTCACTCTGCGCCTGTAATAGAAGGGATCCGAGAACTACTGTTATTAAGAGATCCAGACCCCTCTTAGCGCCTGCCCGCAACGGCACGGGCACCACCTTCGGGTACATTCTCTATTTAATGTAATCGATCAAAAATACAACATTATAATATAACATTATATTTATTGCCTGTTTTGTCATAAATAGCTAACATTCGAATCCCTTACATATACGGAACGGTAGCTTAAGAAGAAGTCTGTTTGTCAAGAGTCACTGGATCGCTCGTAATGTTTTCACCAGCAGGGATTGGTTCCCCTGGCACGGGAGAGGTTTGTGGTTCACCGATGATCGCTGGTATTACCTATAAATGTAACAAGCATATTAATTACTCAGTCTACGCTTGATTTCATTATTCTAGAGGCTTTACTGTAGGCTTTACTGAGGTTTACTGTATTTCCAACTCCTCCAATTTTCTTCTGATTAATTTCGTTGCGGGTTCCAAGACAGTTTAATTTCTTCCTGGGACTTCCCGAGTGTCATAACTCGGTGTGTTCGGAGCGAACTACGCAGGACAACATCACTGCAGAGAGAAGGAAAACTTGACAACCCGTCTGGCCAGCGTGGTATAGTAGGCTAAAATCTCCTTTCTAAGGAGAGGCCAGCAGTGGACTGTTAAAGGCTGTTGATATGACATTTATACTTTGTTTCTCTGAAAATGATTACGTCCCCGAGGAGGGTTGGCATCAGGCGGGTAGCCGGCTATGAAAGATTCCGGTCAACATTTATTTGGCAAAGTTACACACTCACAGCTACCCCAAAGTTAGAAGAAGAATAGGAAGATATTAGAATTTATTACTGATTCTAATTTTCATTTACAGAGTGTCGAATGGCTTCCACAAAGTTTAACACAACAACGAAGTCCGCGATTCAATTAATAATCAAATAAAATAAATGGTTTTAATATAATCGGTTGTTTTGCTCGATTATTCATTTAAGTTTTTATTTATATCCAGCAATTTTGATCAGGCATACAGCCTTATGATATCCACTGGATAGGTTATTTACTGACGAATGTGTGAATGTATGAAATATATCACTCTAACGAGTAAGTGTTGTGTGATTTTGTTTATTCTTTTAAGTACTTACCCAATCATCACTAAATAATGCTGAAAATAATATAAGTAATATAATATTTTCACACATCTCACACACGGCCGTCTGATCCCAAACTAGGCAGAGCCTGTACTATGGTAACCAGACTGCTGATAAACATACTTATATATTTCTAAATACATACATATTATAGATAAAGTACACCCAGGCATAGAACAAATGACCGTACTCAAAATCTGTGATATATGATACACACATAATATGATACCATTCATCCAAGAAAGAGTGTGGTTCCCGAGCATTACAAAAATAACTTGTACTTGCCCGCGGAGTGAGATAAGCTAGTTTGGAATATTGTGTGTCCAAATACCTGCTGCCCTAACATAATGAGTATCTGGGCGACTTTCTTGATAGCTTCCAGATCTTGGGGAGTCGGGAGCGATAGCCGAGCGTCCTGCAGGCGCGCAGGGTGCGATCCTAGGCGGGAAGTCAGCTCCGAGACCAGTGTCAACGGGTGGCCTTCCGATTGGTACGGCTGCGGTTAATAGATGTACATTTAAGGGCTACATTCTACAAATATTAGTAGCCAGTATACGCTATCTATACCAATATAATAAAGCTGAAGATTTTGTTTGTTTGTTTTGTTGATCGAGCTTATCTTAGGAACTACTGGTCCGAAAAAAAATTCTTTTAGTGTTGGATAACTCACTTATCGAGGAAGGCTATATAACTTATATCACACTACGACCAATAGTAACCCAGCATTAACGAAAAATGTTGCAATAAACGGAGAATTGTCCGTGTGGTGATGGATTAAGAATACAGATTGTCACCACCCCTATTCATCCCGTGGGTGTTGTAAGAGAAAACTACGCAGAACAACAATACTGCAGCGAGAAGGAAAACTTGACACAAACCCTATACCAACCCGTCTGGCCAGCGTGGTATAGCAGGCCAAAACCTCCTTTCTAAGGAGAGGCTTATGTCCAGCAGTGGACTATTAAAGGCTGTTGATGTGAAACGGAGAAAATTTATTCCTTTTGAGTCAGAGCAGATAACAACAAAATGTCAAATAAAACCTACCATAGAAATGCCCCAAATTTGGCCAAAGAGAAGACCGCCGACCAGCCAACACAGAACTATACCCCGCACCATATTGGAAATACTGGCCCAACTACATCACCCATGCACATTCTTATACCCGTGTAGTATCCATTACATGGACCTAATGGGTGCAAATGGACCAATTTTGTGCAAATTGATTGCATTACTTTCGTGATCACAAACCGTCTGGTTTTCCCGGCTTTGTCGATTGTCTGATGTGATGACAATAATTAAAAAAAAAAGGTATTTCTGTTTCTTCTTTCTAATAGTTCCAGCAGTTTTAACATTATTTCGATCACAGTATATGACGGATGAATTTAAAATTTACCTCTCTACTCGACAAACTAAAACGGCCGTAATTCCCTTGATGTTGCCCACTGATGGACCTCAGTTAGATGACTGTCTTTTTGTTAGTATGCGCCAGGAGGGGAAGGGGTAAGAGAAGACTCATCAGGAGGAGGAAAACTATGGTCTAAGCCCATCAGAAATTACAAATTTATGAGTAGTAAGGCAGTAAGCTGAAGATGGGTGTATGGTATAAGTACACAAAGAGATAATTAGACAAAGGGAAGGACTCCAAGGGCCAGCAACACACTTGTGACTTTTGATTTGCAGGTGTCCATGGGTGGCGATAGTTGCTTACCATCAGGTGGCCCGACTGCTCGTTTGCCCCGTTATACAATAAAAAAAAGTTATATAGTAAGGCTATATAACCTTTCAGGCTTAGTACCACACTAATTTAATCTATTACATTGTAGTTTACAGTGTAGCCGACGTGGGTTGTATGAGAACCGGATGTTATGATGGTGCTTGGCGCTCATTCAAAGTGACCGCCATTTTGAATACAGTATGCGATAACGTGACAAGGCATAATTTTGTTACTTGTTTATGCTTTGGATTTACACGAATCTGAAAATATCAGATGCTGATGTTATAAACAAACTTTTAGTTAACCATAATGTTAATAAACAAATTTATATTACGTATATTTTTATACTTACATATGTATACTTTATACTTTTGACCATTAACTGTCCAACCTTGATTCCGCCACATCACAAACTTCGATATCGTAAAAAACTCAAGTCAACTTAAACCTCTTCAATTCTTATTCATCATCATCATCATCATCAACAGCTTTTAATAGTCCACTGCTGGACTACTAATAAATAAATATGACAATATAATTACTTGAACAAGATCTCAACAAAGATAATGTTTCAAGTATTTTCTGAAACAAATCATCTTTTTAACATTACAGAGCTTCAAAACAAAAACTCTACAACAACAGTGTCTTGTACAACTGCTTATCAAAACTGTATTATGCAATATAAATGACTGAGTGCAAGGAACACTCCTTTTCACACTGTGGGACTCTACATGGATGTTGTAGAAATTCGTAACCGTAACCGAAAATATCGGATATCTGAACTTCATATTTATCCGAAACTGTAACTAAATCAATATTATAAATGCGAAAGTGTCTCTGTCTGTCTGTTAAACGCTTTTACGTTTAAACCGCAGAACCAATTTAGTTCAAATTTGGTATAGAGATATTTTGAGTCCCGGGAAAGGATATAGGATAGTTTTTATCTCAGAAATCATCATTTAAGGACTTGAAATAGGGAGGCTTAAAGTTTGTATGGGAAAACAATATCCATTGAACCGATTTAGATCAAATATTGTACGGAGATAGTGTGATTCTTAGGGAATAACATAGGCCATAACCGCGATAATCGATAAACACGCGGGCGGAGTCGCGGCCAAAAGCTAGTCTGACGTATATAAAGAATAACAATAAGAGGAGAAACTTAAAACTACAAAAGTTTTATTATTTCTTGAACGTACAGAATATATTTATGGTATAGGGACAACCTATACCATTGAACGAAATTTGATTTCCGTAGGTGAGAAATAATACCACTGTTAATAATAACAAGATGTGTATTTTCAGAACAGTTCGGGTTCTTGCCTTGAAAACAATTCTTAAAACTATTTATGGTGCCGTAGTGAACGAAACCATATCGCGATTCAGCATTACTTAACAACGGCATCTATCGGTTTCGCCGTTAAACAAAAACAAACAACTTATCTTTAGACTTATACGACTCTTATGTTAACTTACATTTCTAGGTCTTATGTACATTTCTTTAATTATAATAATATTTGGTGGTTTATCTGGACAACCATTAATATATTCTGTACCTTTTATTGTACCCTTGACAATTTGTTAGCAAAATGTTGGCGTAACAAACAATTTAGTTCTCTCACTGGCTTTGTCTATGGCTCTGTTTATTGTATTTCAAACCTGACTGTAATTTATGTAGCCCATGTTACGCAAGTTGTGACGTTGATGGATTAACTTGATTGTGTTTGATACAATTGTTAAAAACTATATACAGAGGTAAAAATTCACACCCAAGTTAACAAAAAAATATTTTACACGAAATTTATTGTTTTAGATTTTATATAATGTTAGTCTTACTAGCGACCGCATTAATTTAGAAGGACTATCATTCCTAATAAATCATTTTTAAGTGTTTTATTATCTCCTGAGGCGTCTTGGTTGCATATATTGTTTTCTGACATAAAAACTTAAGTAATTGGTTTTTATTATACCTAAGTATTTACTTGAAAAATTATCTTTTATTTTTGTCGACGGGCTGGGACGTAGGAGTCAGTGTGTGGTGGTGTTTTTACTAAAAACCCTCTTTTGGCCCCAGGTGTAATACACTGGACTATATTATTTCAGGTTCTCCCCAAATCGACGTCGCGCCTAACCAGGCCTCCTAGTAAAGGTATCTAACTCATGGAGAAAACTGCTTCGCAACCCGTTATATGTGGTTTAGGAGGAGTCAGCGGATATACAGCCAGACGCGTAAAGTAGCTTTGTTTTATAATAATCTAAAGAAGTAGAAATTGTGTGTACGTATAGTCTTCGTATTCAATGGATTGTCTTCTTTTGGTCATGTTTATTAGGTTTAAACTGTTTTCTGAGGGAATCAAAATTGCTACTCATATGAATTTTGCCAGGCCCATCGCGTGATAGATGGGGGCAACACATGCGACTTCGACAGCGCTTGGGAATTGCGACCTAGGTACAGGTTGAGGGAGTACTCCTCGGGCGCTCATCTCCACTGTTCGCTGTGTTACCCCCTATACCTAACCCTATTTAATACGAGCCTAGCAATGCCGCTTCGAATATTCGTTCATGAAAAGAGCTTACTAAATCTCTTGGCAATCCAAGGTCTTTAAGCAGGTTATAGAGGGATTTAGCTGGTATACCCCTCGCACCCACTTCCACGGTATACAACGCAACGACATAACCATTTTTAGTTATTTCGTTGGTTAAGTCAAATTACTTGTGATTTGCGCAACCCACATATTTGTTTGTCAAATTGTTTAATAAAAATAAAAAATTATTCCTCAAGGCAAACACTTAATTTAAAGTAATCGAGCATAAATCGAGCCTGACAACACCGTTTGAATTCCCAGACTGTCTCGCACTATTGTCGTCTATCAACGTTGAAATTTCTTTTAAAGATGCTTAAAATTTCAAAGGTGGAACATAATTTAAATGTTTAGGCTGTACCTTAGACTAGGAGAATGCGACCTCCGTTATCTCTACGGAGGAGTAAGGCGGCGGTCGGAGGAGGGAGGGGTTAAGTGCGTGCCGAGCGTGCCTCGGCAGCGTGCCACCCCGACAGGCACGGCGCGTGGTAGCAGCTTCCGAGATCTGAAACACGAGCGACCGCGAGACGACCGCAGCCCGACACAACTATTATAATAACGTTAAACCTCGCTGATATAATTTAGTAAAATACCAGCATCTGTGAAGTAAAACTAAATGTTACTTTTAAATATTAAAATAATGTAAAAAGGCTCACAATGTGACAGAGCAGGTACAACGTAGACAGAACACTTGAAATAATTTTGACTGTAAGAATCGATCTAAGTGGCGTGCAATGGCAGAGGCCTATGCCCAGCAGTGGACTGCGATAAGAAAAATAAGAACGTAACGGGTTGCGAAGCAGTTTTCTCCATGAGTTAGATAACTTTACAAGGAGGCCTGGTTAGGCGCCTAGAACCTTTTTGCACCGCACAATCAATCTGTGGAACGGGTTATCGTCTGCAGTATTTCCGGACCGATACGACCTTCAAACATGCAAGGAAAGAGCGTACTCCTTCCTAAAAGGCCGGCAACGCGTTTGTGTTTCCTGAGTTGCAGACGTTCATGGGCGGCGATGGTCACTTGCCATCAGGTGACCCGTCTGCAGGTCTGCCCCCTCTGACATAAAAAAAACGAAATCGCTAAAGGATGTCACTACACAGTCTAGAGTCCAGTCCAGTTTTTTTAAATAATTTTTCGGATATCTGATAAACGCCATCTAGTTTCAAACAAAGCAGAGCTTGTACTATGAAAGCTAAATTGACTGATAGAATACTTATATACTTGTATTTTGTAAAAAAACATACTTATGTACACATATAAAACACCCAAACTCCGAAACAAAAACATGCAGATCATACAAAGATTTTGTCTGACCCGGGAATCGAGCCCGAGACAGCACAACAGTCGCATCGCTACCACTGCACCACCGAAGCAGTCAGCCAGCTATGTGTAGATAGCAATGTACGAAATTAATAATACCGTGACATATTTCACACACGGTCCCATAGCCATGCCAAGATCCCAAACTAGACTGAGCCTGTAGGTACTGCGGTAAGCTATGGTAACTAGATCGCTGACTAACATACTTAGTAATATTGCTAACTAAATCAATATCAATATTATATATAAACTAGCTGACCCGCGCAACTTAGTCTGCGTCTCTCAATAGTAATAAATTTTCTCCGTTTTTGAAACATTCTTCATTTTTGCTCCGCTCCTATTGGTCTTAGCGTGATGATATATAGCCTATAGCCTTCCTCGATAAATTGGCTATCTAACACTGAAAGAATTTTTAAAATCGGACCAGTAGTTCCTGAGATTAGCGCGTTCAAACAAACAAACAAACAAACTCTTCAGCTTTATAATAATAGTATAGATA